CTCGCGCCATTTTTGTTTAATAATTATATATTTTTATATAAAATATTTATATCATATATTATATAACTTCACTATTAAAATCTCATACAAGTACTAATATTGATAATTGACAGTTATATTCGTAATACGAAGTAAATAAAATGAAAAAACAATCGACATTGCAGAAAAGCGTTAATAATTAAAGTCTTATATGGTTTCTTTATGAATGGATATTTAATGAATGATGCTTGCCGCAATGAGAATTATTATTAATAGCATATATTGCAAAAGTTTATAAAAATTATAATAAAATCTTGGAGACTTACCTTTTGCCATATCTTGGTTATAAATATAAAACCGCAAAGAAACAAAGAGAAAGAGAGAGACAAGGGAAAAGAGAATGTTGTAATCTTTATCAGTGAGGGGCAACACGTAAGTCTAATTAACTTTGTGTCGGTTCCAAGAATTTAATCCTGTAGAAAACTGTGGAAGAAGAAAACATTAAGACTCTGCATCCTTCGCAATTTCGTGAAATCGCTCCGGGACAAATTGAAGATTTTCGAAGGAGAGACGAAGTAAAGATGTAGATTTAGTTTTTCCGCTCTTGCTCTGTTGCAATAAACGATAAATTTTTTTTAGTCCGAAGATAAGGTTAGATAACGTAAAACACAATCAAGATTTTTAGCAAAAATGCATCCGTCTTTATTAATTTTTAATCATTCTGCGAAAATACAAGGGGAAACAGAATTAATAAAAATATTAAAAATAATTAGACAAATGATTATAAAAAATTAATAATTTTTTAGTTGTAAGAATTTAAAAAAAATAAAATACAATTAATTATAAAAAAATGATTCAAGAGATAAACTAATTATGTTCCACTGATTACGTATAGTTATAGTTTAATTTTTAGTTTAGTTTTCGTTAAATTAATAAAAATAATCTTGCACTATGACTAATGTAGCGATATAATATAATTTTTATAAATGCAATGCTTATAAAAAAGTATTACAAAAAATTAAAAAAAAGTATTACAAAAAATTATATAATAATGATGATCTATAATGCAGGATTTTTATACATTTTAATGACTTTATTAAAATTTAACTCTCTTATATTACAACATATGTATAACTATGACAACATATGTATGACATATGTATAACTTTTTATTTTTTGGTTGTTATAAAATTTTGATTATTTTTTATCAAACAATATAATTGTTAACTTCGTTACTTCGTAACTTCATCATATATTTTTCATTACATTTATTTTAAAAGAAAAGAACTATTGTAAAAATAATATATCTGTAATGTAAAAAATTGATTATATTGATGTATCTTTTCGTGTATTTAATGTTGATCTATAAATAATTTTCTAGCGTTTAGATTGCTTTCTTTTACTACACATATATTGAATTTGATATGTGTGTAAAATAAAATATTTTAAATAATATAAGTCTACACAATAAAGGAGGAATCACTTTTAAAACATTATACTATAGTTAATAATTAATTTAAAATACAGTAAAATTATCTTGCAAGTAATTAGCTTTGCAATGAGCGTTATTTTAACTTTAGCACTAACGGCTGCAGAACGCAACTGAATCATGAAGCGACACTTATTGCTCGTTGACAAGTTGTTGAATCGAGACTAAAGGTAATTACGATGCATACGCGGATTTCACAAATTTAATATCCACCAATTTGTCCAATGCCGATTTAAACGGGATGTGTTATTTTCGGACGATATGCGTTTACCAAGCCACATAATTGCTCGCGCGCTCATCGCTCTTCTCTGCGATTAATCGCTTAATTTATCGCGACGACGAGTGAAACGTTTGAGCACGGCTATCCCGATGATAGTTACGTAAAACGGATGGACACGTTAGAGCCCGAGCAAAGATAATTTATCGAGCACTTAGTCCCTACAGTAACGTCATTTCTCGGAACGTGAAAGATAATCTATCATTGTGTAGCTAGACAATCGTGGATCGGGATTTGCTTTCACGATTAAAACAGTTCATTAAGGTTGAAGTAAGACGAATTGCTAGTCTATAGCACATGATCAATATACTTCTGTGTTTATAACGCAAATTAACGATTTGCAATTTAACGATTAATTGGATCACTAAATATCTTTTCTGCAAATATTCTGCAAAAGATTTTTTGTGACCGGAAAAAATTACAGAATATATAAAAAAAATCTTCTATATAAAAAAATATTATTTACTTTAATATAAAAAATATCTTAGATATTCAGCGTTTATTATAGTGTTCGCAGAGAGATAATTAGGTTGCAATAATTTCAATGTGGATACTCACTTATATTCTTATCCCTGTATTGCGGCCGCACATCGCCAATGAAACAAATGAAAAGCACCCATACTGCGAACCAGCACGTTCCCATCTCGACCTGAAATAAGAAGTGATATTCTGAATGGATTTAATTAAGAATTCAGTGACGTTGCGTACTGTACTCTGCAGTTTCTACATAACTGCAATGTTATCGCAATATGATTTATTTTTAAATCAGGTCATTATGACAGAACGTAATAATAACGTAAAATAAATATAACGAAATTAAATTGCACATGAAATTAAAATCTCTTAACTCATTTGATTTAATATATAACGTACGTAATTAATACTGAATTATTAAAATGAGTTCCATCATGATAGAAATGTTTCCTTTAAATTTTGGTTAAGTTAGCATAAACATTTACAGGATTAATATGTATGTATATAGCAGCTTTATATATACGTATATAAAGCAGGTTTATTCACAATAAATTTTGGTCGCTTTTGCTTGCTCGGAAGGAGTCGTTTCCTTACGAAAACTTATCGCTTTCTCGTTGCATTTCTCCCAATCCATTATTGTACTTGTGGTAAAGTTGCCGCCCACAAAAGGACAAGCATTTTAATTTATAAAAGTTTTAAATTTATGTTGGCTGTTTGGTTGAGTGTTTTTATACGATTTAAAGTTTTTGAAATACACAAAACAAAATTGATTTGTCCGATTGTTCCGCTACTTTTAATACGACAATACAATTACAAACAATTTTTCGCAACTTTTCTAAAAGATAGTTATTGTGCAGCTCTCTTCATGCAATTTTAATTTTGCCACTAGAATAAATGCATTTGCTTGCTCTAGTTCGAGGAGAAGATCGATGGTTGTATTCGCACATTTCTACAACTGTACTGGATCATCGATCTACCTCGTAATCGCTAAAGGAATAATGCTTCGCAACCGTCGAGACCGGAGACGATCCTTTGTGGCAATCGTGCGGATAATCGAAAACCGAGAGAAAAAGACACGGAGTGTAGGATTCGCGGTAGTGGAGCACTGCTGAATATTTCCGGGTTTCCGGCAGGCGTGCACGGAGATGTTATAAAATATTTCTTTGAGGATTTCGACTATGTGTGGAGATATTTTGTTCGACAAGCGTTTCCGCGCAGCACGTATTCGGATTTTTATGTCAGTTTCCGCGAATATTATTTGCGAATCGAGCACAGAAAAGTTCCTTCCGCATGAAATGACGACAACGACTACGCTGACAACGACGATTGCTTTATCTGTGAAATTAACGGGATTTCATTGTCACGACGATACCAGCCTGCTTCTGCGTGCACATTTTATCGCTGTTTCTAAAGGAATGCACGCTGAATGTTCTCGTCTTATTTTGCGATGTAATACCGTCAAGTACGAGAACGTTAATCATTTCCTGATGATTGGAATCACCTAGTAAATTACAAAGATCATAAAAAATACAGTATTAAGGAGCACATTAGATTTGTTAAAAATTTATTTTCATATTTTAATTGGCTATTTTATCAAGTAGAATAAATATTTATCAGAATATATTTCATTAAATTCTTTAAAAAATGTATATAATACTAATATAATACTACTTTTTAATACATAATTAAAAATTAAAGAAATATTATTTATATTATATTAATAAAATTTGATATTTTAAAATAACAAATTTTAATAACTTAAAATTTAATCTAGAAATTTACTTTGTTAATTTTTTATTTATATTCGATTATATATATTACATATTGATTATATATCGATTATATTATGTAAATTTTATATATTTTATATATTGCCAAATAAACGGATTATCAATTAATTATTTAGATGATAAATCTCATAATAAAAGTTATGAAAATAAATTAAATAATGCAACATTCTAGCAATGTATAATTGAAATTAAGATTTAAATTGGTAGGCAATACTATGTATATTGCAATTAATGTACATAAATATAATTAATAAGAAGGTATCCCAATCGGACATATGTTATTAGAGTACAGATAGAGTACAGAATTTCTTTATTCAACATCGGTACGTATCCTCGACAAAAAATACAAGATTAAAGATACACGTATTGTTATCGGCATTTTTGGAAAACGTCCTTTCTCGCGTTTCATCCACTCACATATATTTCGTGAACGAGCGAGCTGGAGTATATCCGAAGGATAGACATCTCCTTCCCCAAGAAGTGACGGGCACATATCCCTTCCAAAGGCTTATCTATCGAAGAAGCTGCCCTTTTCGGAGAAATCCCCAGACGCAAGCAGCGTAAAAGTTCCTATTCTCCCTCGAAAAGAAAACATCGTCTAGTACTCGGGAGTGCAGGTCCTCCTCTCGACCCCAGGATCATCTCAACCAAGAGTACACGAATACACGTGACCTCGCGTACGCTCATACATATATGTTCACACGCGCCCGACGACGAAATGATACTCGCGCGCGAAGTAGCAGCCCCTGCCTTCGAAGATCTTCCGAACCTTCATCGATCACTATATATACCTGCCGGAGTCAACTTCTCTACGTATCTCGTTTCATGGTTAGTCGGCTCGAAAATATTCCCTATTCCTTTTCATCGCGGAAAGGGCCGACTTTAGTGCCGTCGCCGGGACTAAATTTAGAATCCGTTCGGAGGTAAATAGAAGATATTTTCGGGTCGTCGGATCTTTGAGTTTCTGAATTCTTGTATGCACTGATCCCCAAATCAATTCTTTCGTCATTCGTCAATAAGATGCATACATGTGAATCATTTTAGTTATTTTCTTCGGGATAAAATGATGATATTCTGATGATGATATTCTGTTTAGAAATGTATTCGTATATATATTCGTATTTAACGCTAATGGTGGTTTTTGTTACTTTTTATTTTATTTATTTAATTTAGAAGTAGAGTTCAATATTATCACAAACTGAAAATTGTATGGCTATTTGAGCAGTATATTCAAATTAAAAGCATAAGTAATTTCACGTGTTGTAATTAATATTTCGTCTAAGTATCTAAATACGCTTTTAGAACTTACTAAGAGTTGAAAGCGGTATAATTTCACGCACGCACACACGCACGCACGCACGCACGCACGCACGCACGCACGCACGCGCACACACACACATATATATATTCATACAATGAAAATGTAATATATATGATGCATACATACACAAATATTCAACATAACAATGATTTCTTCATAAACAAAAGAGAATATCTACAATAATAAAAGAAAGGTACTAACAACAATTATTTTTTATAGACATTAAGCAGTATTATATATGTTCAAGTTTAATGTTTTATTTATAATATAAAAGTAAAATCAATTAAAATTACATAAAATGTTTAAAATATTAGATATATTAATTAAAAATAGTAAACTTAATTATGCGTAAATATTAATTAAAGATATTAAATTTAATTATACGTGAACAGTAAGAATCTTCAGAGAGAGAATAAAAGACGAGGCGTGCTTGAGTCTTTAAATCTTGAATGAAAGTAAACGACAAAAGGAAAGGGAAGTGAAGCGTTGCGAATAGAGTCGACGAAAGTAGAAAGATTTGTGAGACGAATTTCCGCAAGCGACCTTACCGTGTCCGGCCGAGTAATAATTAGGGCTCTTCGTCACTGAGGTGGTAGGCCAACTGGTGCTTTCACAAGAAAACCCTCCGATCGAACAAACTTCTTTCACTAAGTAGCTCTCTAGAGATTAAACTAGCTCTCCATTTATTGCAGAGAAATGCATTTTTTTGAAGAGTCAGAAATAATGACATACACACATATACACATTTATGTATATCCTTCATTCAATTAGTAAAAATGTTATTGTATTATGTTTAAATATACATAATATAATATATTATATAATTGTAATAGAATGTGAAATAAAGACATTCTAATTTAAAATTCAATTTTAATAAAAATGTATATTAATATTTTAAATCAAAATTTTTATAATATTATAAAATACAGATTATGTGTGTATATAGAATTATTATAATAATACCAATTTATTATTTTAATGTATTAAAGTTATTCATAGATCAAAGCTGAGATAAAAACGAGAATCTCGTGAAGTTTAATTTACTTTTGTTAATTTATATGACATTATCTCAATCTTAATAAATAGCAATATATATAAAACAGCAGAATAATCAGAAAGATCAGAAATAAAATTTACGAATAGTATAATATGTTCACAAGAAATAAAATTAACAGACAAATAAAATGAAATTATGAAAATTTAGTGATTTTTATGAAAATAATTTTATCTGCCTTAACATACATATATAAATATTAGCAGTAAACAAGATTTATTTTATTTTTATTACTTTAATAAAATTACTTACTTGTTTATTTATTTTGTTAACATTTTTCAATTTTTTAAGTTGCACAACAGCAAAATATAGTAAAAATATAGTAAAAAGTAAATATCATCGTTCCGCAAAATAAAGCTCACAGTAAACAATTTCCTCGTCAATCGTAGGGTCAGAGTATTATTAACAACATGGCGAAGGCAATAATCATAATAAATTGCGGCACTAGCTAACCCAGTGATATTGTAGTAGAACAAATATCCGGGAATGACTTTCCTCTGGGCTGCGAACGATATTAAAAGTTATTAATGACCGTCTCAGCAAGCTCCGTTTCGCCTTATCCCTGTGGAGAGGCAAGAATTAAGGAAGGTGAGAACGGATGGAGAGAAGAGAGAGAGGAGAAAGATGGGAATAAAACCGGAGAAAGATGAAAGTTCAGTTTCTCTCATAGAAAGTTCTTGCTTTTCCTGTCTTAATATTGTAGCACCCTTCGTACATTCGTGCACTTGCTACGCCATATTGTACAGCGGTTCTCGTTATTATCTCACCGCTGCCATAACGTCCTTCTTAAGCTTTGCTATCGTCCGTCTGCTTTGTCGTTATTGCTCGGTGGAAGCAGCGTTAAATACAAGGTATAAATATAAACGACTGTTGGATCCGGAATGAGAGAGAAAAAGGCGAAAATAGTGCGCTACATTTTTGCGCCGATAATCGCGCGAATTCGAGAGCTTACAAGATGGCGATGAATGGGAAACTGTTTATGCATGATAGCATCGCTATTCTTTACTTTC